GGAATCGATTAACAGGAATATCATGAATGTGGCAGCAAACGATCGCGCAGTCATGTGTTGGTCTAAGGGCTTTGATGGCCACATGATGATTTTTGGATAGCTTCAGTCTCATTTCTAGAATGAACTCACGGATGGCGATAGAGATGTAGCTTCATGGAAATATCTCATTTTTTGAGTTTCCTCTTATCCCTTCTACATATATATAAAGCGCTATGTTTGTCTAAATGTGTGTGTCACGAAATTCATAGCCTCGCAGCAGTCGTCAGGAGCTGATTTTTTGATATGATATAGGGGGTGGGACGGGAACATATTTGGTGGGGGTCACAAAGTGATAACGACTGATAAGAGCTGATAAGAGGCGCTGAAACGCAAATTTCACGAAATTCATAGCGCGCGTCCCAGCAGCAGTGGGGCGTTGGTTCCAAGAAGTGATGTACAGGGTGGGACGGGAACACTTTGGTGGGGACAGAAAGTGATAAGGATGGTTGATATATGATAGGAACTGATAAGAGGCGCTGAAATGCAAATTCACAAAGTTCGTAGAGCGCGTCCCATCAGCAGCGGGACGTGGTTCCAAGAAATAATGTACAGGGTGGGAGCATTTTTGGTGGGGGACAGAAAGTGATAACGGCTGATAAGGACTGATAGTAACGATATGCGTAAGAATATAGAGGTCACTCAAAACCAGATTCTGGATAACGCATTTCATTTCAATATCATTTCATTTGCATCGTCAGCCCAAAATATTACTAAACCTGTAATGTTCTCCCAGTCTCACCCTTCTTGAAACCTGGGAATTCAGGTCTTACACAGTTGTTTATCCTTTCGGTGCCACACAGGTTTTGTACGATGGAATCACTATTGCTAGACCGCTGCAGAGTCCCAGAGTTCGGAAGAATGAGTGGGATGGCCGAAGAAATACGGTGGTATTTCCATTTCAACATCATTAGCATCGAACATTCAACTGCTAAATTATACTGACATGCGATATGTGGGAAATAAGCAAACCAGCCCTTTTGGCGTTTCTGCTGGGGCCGTATGCTGAATGTTGGGGAGGGGATGGGGTCCCCGACGGTCGACGGACTACTTCAACTCGGTCCTTAGAACCGCCTCAATTTGATGCTTACCTCAGAACTAAGCCTTAAAGAGAGGACGGACCTGCGAGAGAGCGCAGGTCCGTCCTCTCTCCAAGGCTTAGTCCTGGGGTAAGCAAACCAGCCCTTTGGCGGAGCTGCTGGACCTAGCTGCACCACTTCGTCATCACTCTCCTACCGTACCGAGTTCAAGTAGTCCGTCGAGCTCGAGGACGCCCATCCTCTCCCCATCATTTCAGCATACCGGCCCCAGCAGAAACGCCGAAAGGACTGGTTTGCTTACCTAGACATGTGGTGGTTGTTCATAGACATCGTTTTGAATTCGCGCTTTACTGCGCTTATCAAACAGTGAGCTTCAGCTAAAATGGGTAGCCTGTGCAACGGTCAGCCAACGCATTCGAAGAACATATTGTTTCACGACGGAGCCTAATGCTCCAGCGGCTGCCCAGTTTCACCGAAGAATTCCGTGTCATGCGCGCGGTAACGTGCGGAGCTAAACTGGTGTTTTGATAAGAGGTTTTGGACCGAGCTTTTTTATTTTCTAAATTGATGGAAATTTGGGAGAATTTCTTTTCCTCTAAACAGTCCTAATGGGTAATGATCACTACCAGACGGCTTTCAGGAAACACCCCTAATCCCACGATAATTCATGTTCTTTTCTGCTTCGGAAATTTGTATAACTTCCCAGTGTTCTTGTCAAGAATACCAGTAGAAAGTTGATCAGCAAAACATGACGTTTCGACTTAGTCATTGTTCATCATTTTCTCCTTGTTCCTATGATTGGTGAAGCGCGTTCCTTTTAGTACCAGGGGCGGAACGGTAGCAGTTGCAATGAATAAATGACAGATCATCACGAGGGTGTCAATTTATGGGGTCTATGCATGGCTGAAACCCTCACAAACTTACCACTGGCTTTCTCTGTTCTAGTCCATCATAGGCAGGGGCAGCCTTCCTCTGGATGAATAGTAATTGCCATGGCTCCAAGAGCTTTGAAGCTTCTCACTGGTGATTTTTAGCTGTGTCCCGCTTTGCCAAAATTCTACAAGCAAGGTAAATAACTTTCAAATGAGGAATAAGCCAGCCGCAACACTTAATGGGATAACGATTGGGAAGCATCTCGAGAAAAAATGTGGCAGCCAGTGGCGCGAGGTAAGTTTGGCGCGTTGAACGAGCAAGTTATACGACACATTGCTGATAAAAATTGACGTCGTTTCGCCGAAGTTTAATTGCTCATCGGAGAGATTTGCTAAGCGAACACTTTTTTGTCCTTCGATAGATGAATATTGTTTGGTTGTTGACTCATTTCATAGTAATGGAAGTGGCTGTACGGACTGGCGTTGCTCAGCCACGCGAAGTTGGCGGGGATGCGAATCGGGGTATGAGTGGGTCCGACAACCAAGCCTTCCATCCCTCCGGGGTCGGTTAATTGGTACCAGACTTGTAGGAGGAGGATAAAAACGTTGACGCACATTGACTGGTTCCCGCAAGTCATTGTATACGCCAAATCGTATCCAAGTGCCACTGCGAATGTAGAAATGGATCTTTAATTTCAAGGTTACCATAGAAACTCCGGAGAGGTGAAATTTTTAGCGTCACCTTCACCATGTGGTCCCGTTCGTGTCGTTGTCTGCCGAGTCCTCGACTTGGGCACCAGCAGCGTCCACATCCGTACCTGCCGCATGCAAAAGTAGCCTAGCGTACCTTTCTCGCTCTAGGGACCCGAATGTCCTTCAATGCTTTCGTTCAGAACATTTCTAAACAAGTTTGGCAATAGGGCCTTTTATTGGCCTGGTGTTCGTCCCTAGGTATGCAGGGTCGGTAACCGTTGGTCCGAGCGGCACCGTAAAATTGTAACGAACCGTAATCATAGTTCCTCGCGAAAACGGGTCTTGAATTTTTTTTTCCAAAATTTGGTTTTTTGGGGGAACGGGCTGGCTTGGCGATTTCGGATTCCTCTCATACTTGCGTGCAAAGGGCAACCCCAAGCATGGTACTCTCCACACCGCTGGGTAAGGCTGACCGCATACTCATCTTTTTTGCGCGCAGTCTAGGTCCCTTGGGCGTTCGTTAAAGCAGAAAGGATCGCAGAATCGAAGAGATGGGCTCGGAGCTGGATGTTCTTCTTGTTCAGTACCCCCTCCTATTCAGTATCCCCATGCCGCTTATTTCGTCCTACTCAGCTCTGAAGCTAGATCGTTCATCATATTGATTTCCCGACCTAGGTACACGTAGCTGGAGCATTCGGTGATGTTCGTTCCGTTGAGCGTGAATGGGGCATCAGGAACCAATCCGTTTCTCATAAACATCGTCTTCGTTAGGTTCAGCTGTAGACCAACCTTACCACAGGCGCAGTCGAAATCAGCCAGCATTCGCTCCGCTTGCTCGATGTTCGGCGTTATAAGAACGATTCGTCAGCAAAACGAAGGTGATGCTGACCCTCGACCTTCACTCCTATGTATGTCTTCCCTCCTGGTTTACGCACGAAGTTAGAGTGGCGCTGAGAGTTATGGGCGAGATGTTGTTTTCACCGTTCGCTCCCTGCTGCTTCACGTCGGATGATGATTTCCTTACAGGACGTGCGTCGTAAAATTGCGGTGAACTGGGGCTATCCATGTGCTGAGTAAGTACGCTCTTGTTGCCCGTGCTTCGACGACAGCTTCCGTCTTCAAGAAGTTGACAGCTTTTGGAAGTCAATGAATGCGCTTTGCCTGGCAATTTCGTGCTGCAGCTCATCATTTTTGCCCTTTTGCAATGGTAAAATTTGCGCTTGTGCGCACCCGTGTTTTTAATTGTTGCATTTTTTTGTGTTTTTATATGGCTTCAAAAGCTGGTGCAGATGAGAATGGCTGAATTATAGGCAGAAAGGCTTCGGAAAGAAATCGAATCTGCGCTTGCTAACAAGGGGAAGATGGTAGATTGAAGTGGCCTTTTGAAACGAAATGTATATAATCTGAGAAGTCTTTGAACACAGGCCTCATATCTGCATTCTGCTGAACTATTCTCTGGACAAAGCTACAGAATTTGTTGTGATGTGGAGCAGACACTAATTCAGCAGAAAGATATGTATGCACAGCTTGAATGTGGACCGGTGGCGTAGTGGGTACTGGTGGTCAGATGTCCAGCCAACGCAGCGTTTGGTCCTTGTTGTGCGGGTTTTTTTTTTCAACTGTTTTCCAAGGTATGTTCAATGCGTTTGCGGTACACCTGTTTACGGGTACGTTTGGCTTGGCGAAAATGCTGTGGTGGGTCGCAAACGAATTGGACCGTGTTAGATCATTAAGTCGGTGGATTTCTGTCAGGTCCTCTTTATGTCCGACACATCCAATCAAGTTAAATTCGAGATTCGTAAATCGGTTAAGAGGACAGAATGGGTATGTTGATGAAAGAGTGCTCGACCGTTTCACATGAAAACCTCTCTTCTTCACTGCAGTATGGGTCACTGCCTGGGTGTTTGCCTACTCCGGAGCTGCTCCATGAGCATCTTTATTGCTTTTCGTCAAACTAGTAACAGTTTTTCGGTGTTGGAAGCTTGCGTACTGTATTTCTTGATTCATTGCGTGGAGGGAATTAGGATTTTCACCCGGCTACTAGCCTGAGTCTTGTCTCCCAGCGTCGTTACCAGTAGAGGGAACCTTGGCACAGTGGCGACAGTTTGAGTGGGAAAGTCGGCAATTGGAGTATTTTTGTGGTTATCTTCCGCCCGAGTTAGATCCCTAAGTCACTTTCTTCTATGTTTTGGACGAAGCTTGGTTCGGTTTCTTCATTTTCGTTCACAAGTGCATTTTTGATCGTTACGCAGAATTTCTTGTGTATGTCAATATAACCAAACACTGTTTAATTTTGATTGTAATTCATCAATGTTTCCCAACGAGACTCTATTCTTTTGAGAAGTGTGATTCGTCATTCTTACGATGGGCATCCTTGAGAAGCCCAGTGGCCGAGATTTCGATCATAGTACGAATTATGATCATTCCCTTCTGTACTGATGACGGTATTACTGCAGTAGTCACCATCCGATTCCTTGCAGATTGTGTACGGCTGTCCAACCGCCATGTCGTTGTCATACCTAGAAAATTAAGAAAATCATATGGAATAGGAAACATATTTCTATCCCGTTTTATGTCTGTGACACATCATTAACAGGTTTGACTACAGCGTGGCGCGTAGCGCCGTCCTTTTGCGCCTTTTCGTTGAGACATTATGTACGCGCCGGTAACGAAAAACAAAGCATCCTTTTACTTGCGCGCTTGTGCGACTCATTTCCTAGTCTTTGTACTCATTCTGTAGGTCATACTTTAGCATACTTAAAAACCACATGGCTCACAGAAAGGCCAAATATTCTTTAGTTTGGCAGACGTTTTCCAGACCTTACGGATATGTCTGTTCAATTCATTCCTCGTTTTCCTTTTCATTACGGTAGAACATGTTGATAAAAAGGAATAACAGAAGTGAATACAAAAACCTATTCGTATGGGAAATATGTGTTTTTATTGTTTCTAGAAACAACACGTACCGAATCAATATTGGAACCATAAAGGAAAAATTGGATTAAATTTTCCCTATTTATGGCCTGTGAACACGTCATTTTGCGTCAACTTCACAAGATTTTCCAAGTAATCTTTGTTGCGCCGGATCGAGGTCAACGTGGGTCCTTGCGATCACTGAACTTGTTCGATTTTCATCTGACAAAGGTGTCAAGAATGGGCGTTTGCATATTCAGGCTACTTGCCCCTAGCAAGCGATCCGTCAGTTACCCAATTGAAGAAATTTTCTAGCAGCTTTTGTAAACTTCAGCGATTACTTTAGGCCTTCTTGAGCTCAACGGTGGTGAAAGATGACGTCATATTTAGGACGGTGAGGGCTGGTGAAAGATAGGATACATTATCCTAAGTCATGGGAAGGAAATTTAAAGGAAGCGATTACGATAAGGAATTTTCGCATCGGGGGAGAACCTGCGCCACACGGAGCAATTACTTGGCTGCCAAGGAAGCGATGTGTGGCCCTCCCACGGCGAAAGGTGCTGTGGTTGCTGAGCAGGACCCGCGTGACGCCCCGCCCCCAGTGACGTGACGCCCACTAGTTTTGTTGATGATCTGGATGGACTGTTTGCTGTTGGCTTTTCATTTTGGATGATCATTTCCCTTCTAGCGGCTGTATCTTCCAACTTGCCCACGTATTGCCTTATCAATCAAAACACTATGCTTGTTGGCATGATGGCGGCTATCGGGGTTAACACGTCCGAACAACGTCGTTCTTTACCGTCGCTCATCCATGGTCGAAAATGAAAGGGCAATCAAAGGGGTACTATTTTGCTTATTTTTGACGGATTTCTTTGCTTTTTTCGCCATTGGCGTACTATTGAGACCCTCACGTCCCCTCTAAACCCCTGTGAGATCTATCGTAATCGCTTCCTTTAAGTATTTTGCCGTAAAACTTTCATCAACAGCGGCACCCTGTGCGATGAAAAGTTTGATGATGTGCGCCATGGGCAAAGTGTCTTTTTTTGTCCACCCCTGTAAGCTTTGTCCCTTTATCCTCTACCCTTTGATCCGGCACTATTTACCCTTTACTGCCCCACTGCTCGAAGACTGAGCCAGGTTTTTATCGAAATTTGTTCCTGACTGTGAATTTGGCTAGAAACTTGCCTCCAGAAGGTAATTCGACGTAAAACACGAATATCACATTCGTTTGGCGCAAAAACGCCTGGTGCCACAGCCAAGCGCCGGCGTCAAAGAGCGCCAGACATGCAGGATCAGATGGATCAACTAATTCGTTGGAAATTTCGCTAGGTGTAGCTTGATCCGTAGAACATGATTATCACGTTAGGTCGTTGTGAGTGAGCTTGTAGCTGCGCTACGGCGCCCGCGCAAAACTGTTGTGATAGCGCCGGCGCCTATGGCGCGGGAGCCAAGCGTTTTTGCACTTTTGCACTGGTGTAATTTTCGGGTTCTGCGGGTTGAAATACCCCTGAATGCAACTTGCTAGCCGAATCCACAATTTAAGCTGTTGTAAATTTTTCTTCACTTACGCTTTGCTCCGATACTTCTTGTTTAAGTATGATCACGCCTCAATCTTTGATCAAAAGTTTTGCTTTATAACGGCACCCAGTGCTGGTCGAGCCTGCCTGCTGTGGGACTACTCACCTATGTTCCAGTTATCACAACATCCGAAAAACTTCTCAAAATCTACGACATGTATTAGAAATCGACTACATATGTCGTCGACTATAAACTATGTTCGATTAGCGTTTTTAGTGCATCTTTTGCTCGCAACTCCTCAATGTACGGAAGGTGATGACAACTAGTTCTTGAAAGGGTTTACCATTTCATTCTCAACTCACCAAATCTCAAATCGGTGGTGGAACACCTGATCAGGTCCGAGCCGTGGCGGGATGTGCGGTACAGGATCGCGATGGTGAATGATACGATAGGCGTACGGAAACTGTAAAACCAAAAGCGATTTTAATTGAAGTATGGCGCAATGTGCCTCGGGGGGGGGGGGGGCAGTCGCCGCGCGCGCTCTTGCGGCAACAGGAAATTCGTGAGCCAGGGGGAGTGTAGCCAATTCAGGGGGGTTGGGGGTGAGGGCAGTCACATGACATGCGTGAGAAGCTGGAATGTTCGAATTTCCTGTTGCCGCACAGCCGCGCGCGGTGACTGCCCCCCCCCCCCCCGAGGCACATAGCGCCCAAGTTTCTTTCATTTCATGGAGAAAGAAACCGCTGCCTCATGGCCATGTGCGAAGTCGTAGTCGCCTGTTTCGAGGCTGCCGACCATGTGACGCAAAGTCGTAGATTCTTCCGGCGTTGTCTATGTTTCCAGCTTCTCCTCATAATGAAAGCAAGATGGAACGATTGATGCACCAAGCGAAATGCCAGTCAGCTAAATTGAGCCCTAATCCCTTAGGGAGCCTATATTCCCTGGAATGCGCTGTACCGCCTGTTAGGCCTCGATCGCCCACGGCAACTCATGGAACTTACAAGGTTGATCGGCGCAATCCATCTTTCAAGTACCGTGACTATCGTGCTTAGCCAGCAAAGCTGCAGTCCAGTTTATTTTTCTCATAGGCTGAAAAATCATAAATTCCCCAGGTTTGCAAGACTTCATCTGAGTTTTGATTTCCCGTTTTTTTACAACTAATAATTGATCGATAAGGTTATTGTAAGCACAGGGAGAACATGGTTTCTCCGCTTGTGATGGCCCCTTTTTTTCTAAGATGTGAAAGTTGCGAGAGTGCGTTCCTGTTTTAAAACCGCTGAGTATGACATGATTCATAGTCAAAAACAGAAGCCAAAAGGGTAAGCCTAGAGTTTTGTTCACGAATTCGTTTCTGGCTTGCCCTTTTTTAATTGCTATTTTCCAGTTATTTTCCACAGATTTAAAACAATTTGAAAATTTGCTTATCAGTAGTTATGCCATTTAACAAGCCACAATCAATTTTCTGGACTGCCTCCTTCGCCTCCTCCCTCCTCCCACTAAATATACTGCTGAATTGCGCAACGTCAACTCCTACTTTGCCCCGACAAGTCACATTTTTTTTTTCATAAGGCCCAGAGCGTTCTCACTCAAGGGTTGTCTTGTATCTTCCGTTAACAGCAGGTGGGAGGGGTCGTACTTTCCGAAGAATTTTTTTTTTTTTTTTTTTTTTTTTTTTTTTCCTCGCATGCATTCACGCTTGACCCTGGTCCAGAAGCTTAGTTGCAGGACTTTGATAATTATATCTTAAAACTCACATAGAATTTGTAGTTAGGATATTGGAATTTGAGCGTCCGCACTTGCTGTTCAAGCCCACCATTCCACAGGAAGAAGAACGCATCATGGAAGTATTTGAACAGGTGGCCGTTATTGAAGAATGGCACTCCGTTTTCTGGAAAAGAAGGCAATGGAGAAGTGAAAATCGCTTTGGCGAATAGACTATTAGGGGAGCAGGCGAAGGCGGGAGGAAAAAGGTACGTTTGAATCAGGTTAAAGGCAAATTTCGTCGGCCAGAACCACTTAGACACTTACCTATGGCTAGAAGTGCTGGGTACGCAAGTGCAAAGGTAGCGCCACCTTTCCACATCGAAATGCGTCACTGGGACCCTAGGCGCCATGGACTTCTAACAGACTCCACCAAAACTTAACATGGTCCGCCCACCGTCGATATCTTGTCTGCGTCGCCCACGGTTGCTGTGCGATAATGCGCTCTTTCTTCTCCAACATCTTTACACTCTCTCGCGCTCACATTATTCTCCATCTCCTGCTGACTTTTGCCACTTCTCCCAACAGTATGCAACAATAAAGCCGTATTGCGCTGTGCTATTCCAAATTTTCTTCCTTTTTTCTCCAATGACGGGTCCACCTCCCCTCCCGTCAACCTTCCAAGCCTTTTGACTGAACACCCAAACCAATTTAATCCTGATTCTTGCCTTTGAGAGCGGTTTAAATAAGTACGTCCACTTCTTCACGCTTTCGCGTAAGTTCTACGGTCGATATGTAGACAATCCTGCTCGCCGAAGCGCTCACTAATCAAAAATATTTTGAAGAAAAAGACTGTTTCAATAAAACTTACACGAAAAAACTCATAATTTCGTCGGTCATTTGTAACTGCCGTCTGTCCCTCGGAAAGCAATAATAATCGCTTTTTCAACAGGATCCCAAGCTGTATATCCATGACATTTGGTATCTGAGCAGAATTAAAAGATACTGATCAGACGTACGCTGCCAAGGCGCGGGCGGGCAAGGCGTTTTTGATGCTGTCATTTATCATTGGTAGACTAGATCCTCTGCGCGTAAGAGGTTCAAGATCGGACCAGGGTGAATAACCGTCCGAGGAAACTCTCATCATTGCTCTGTAATGTGTGAGAAGAGGGTCGGGAGCCGAATGTACGCGCGAGCGAGCAGAGACGGCTCGCGCGTGCGCCCGAGTAATGTCCGGATGAGCGTGGACTGAACGACGAAAATTTTTCATGAATCGTTCGTGAATCCTCGACGATTTTCACCCTGGCTTGAAACGTCAATCCTCACTGGAACCTCTCCACCGACTGACGTTCGATCACTCAATCGAAACCAAACGGCTTTAAGTCATAATGCTGGCTGCTGTTTCATAGTTATAAAGGTACCTGTTCGCTTGGTTCGTTTTTCGTCCGAAAATATGTTATGTACAAAAGCGAATATCTTACAGCTAGAGATTTGAGTGCAATCGTAGATCGCGATATACGGTAAGGATCTCCCGAAGCAGCATTATGAGTGCTTTTTAATAGTTTGAGAAGTTGGTACTGAGCCCCTCCGCGACAGCAGGCGACGTCATAGCCGCTTGCGATCTCATTACGCGTGTGACTTTCACTTGGTTAACCTTGTGCTTAACCGAGGGAAGTGGTGAAAGATGGTGCGAAATGGTCTACTGGTACTACTGCAACCACCTGGTGATCTGTCAGCTGACGAACTGATTAGGGGCTGTAGAACGTGTTGTTCATATGTGTCGACCCTCAATGACCACTGTCTTGATGCGAATTTTCGCTAACCTACCCCATAGGCTTGTCGCACCCGTAACCCCTCATAAGTTCTTGATTAACTACAACGCATTCTTATTGTTAGTAACGTAAACTAACAGTTCCATAACAGGAAACTATAACGTAAACGTCGTTTGTGGTGTATCTTATAAAAACTATATTGAGTAAGTCATCTCAGAACCAGGAGACCCGAAATTGTAGCAGTATATTCAGTAAAGACACATGCTGAAATTCAATATGGTTATCATCTCACCAGGCATTTCAGTTGCGCACTTCACGTCGATGGTCTTGTAGAAGGCAACATGGGGAAGCTGCGATCTGAATTTTCTCTCATTAAAGTTAAATAAATCTGTGAAAGGCACAAAGCAGCTCTCTAGAATAAAGTTGGAGGTTTGCCTTAAACATTTTTCCGGAGTCGAAGGGAAAACACCAGCCACCAGGGGAGTGATGTAGTAGCGAACAAACGTCTCGTTGTAGGCGTAAGCTGGATCAGGGAGTCGTGGACAGTTCAGCGACAACTGTAAATCAACAAAAGTAAAAATCTGATGAATATTTTGAGAAATGCTCATCAATCTCGATACCCTCTCGAATTACAAAACTTTGCTCAAGATGCATTTTAGTAAGACCACACTACCAATGTTCCCTTGACTGTTGCGCCGAAATGAGTACCGTCTGCCCTGGAAATACGGCGTTCTTATTTTTCAGTGAAAAGCAAAACTTGTTTGTAGATACAGCTGTGGAATTCAAGGAATAGAGTTAATCTGCTGCAGCAGCTCGACGCTCGAAGACGAAGTCCGGGATCGAACTAATAATTTTCTGTGCTTGCAAGTGACATCAGAGATGTGAACTGTAAAGCTAGCAATGAAAAGGAAGAAATCTGTCGCGAGGACGAAATGCCGTGCCAGTTAGACCAGCGAAGCGAAACAGCCTATATGGTGGGCGCGTCTATGCTGCATTCTTGGCGCCATAGCATGCTCGGCCCGCATTTTCTTAAGAAAGACTTCGAATAAGGCACATATTCTTGAATGCTGTTCAAAAGGCACGGGTTATAATCGAATTTGGAGTGCTATTTCTGTTGGAGAATTCAGACATAGCAACTTAAATGAGAGCGTGTATCGGATTAGAAAAGCAACAAGCGTCATAGAAAACCTGTCCGCGCGTCAGTTTCCTTGTTTTGTTTGTTAACCACTGTTTTAACGCCGCGCTTCGCGTTGCGAATGTTTCACAAGAGTACAGCTCATTCTCAATCTTGTGAAATTGTAGTTTCCCTCGGGAGGTCGGCTGTAGTATGTTTTAGAGACACAACCTTGCGACGAGAGGGAAATCAAACGCAAGAGAGTGAGTAGTATTTGAGAGGGCGCAACGCTTAGTATGCCGCGATTGGTGCAGATTGCGGCGGTCAAACGCAAAGCGAATAGCTTATTTTATCGCATACATTATACGAGTTCGGAACCTACGCCAACGATCGAAGATCAGGGACGCTGCCGTTTTCGCCAAGGAATCGAAGATAAGGTGGGCCGGACACGTCATGCGATTTTGCGATGACCGTTGGACCAGAGCGGTTACCGACTGGATCCCTCGGGACGTCAAACGAACACCTGGACGACCGCCGGCCCGATGGTCAGACTTCTTCACGAAAGCTCTGAACGAAAGGAATGAAGGACTTCGTGTCCCTCGAGCAAGGAGGATCCACTGGACCACTCTAGCACGCGACAGGGACGAATGGAGACGTTGCTGGCGCCCGCTCGAGCAAATCGACGATCAACGGGACGACAGGTGATACAGGTGATACAGGTGATGCGCACTAACATTGCGAAATTCCACTGCGAAGTATCAGCACCCTGTGATCCAGGATCCGACCAACCTCACTCAAAGGAGGGGGTTTTTTCAAGACGGGGCTATCGCGCCCGGTGTGCCTTGAGGTCCCTAAGCGGCGGAATGTTTCATTACGAAGTTATTACGAAGTTGCCAGAGTCAACCCTGCGTTGCGCAGTTTTCAACGGCCACGTTGCGCAGTTTCGCCCGATTAGACACGTTCTCTCGCGCGAACATTCACACTCGCATGCTCGAGCCGTCTGCGTCTCCGCCCATACAGCGTGCGTTGAGGATCTCTCAACGTGCCGTTGCGAACTGCGCAACGCAGGGTTGACTCTGCTGTGACTCGGATCTTTTAACACGTTGACGACAACGCGCGTTTTGGGTTTTTGCGCCGCGTGGGACCACGGCGATTTTGCAGGCGCCGCCGCCTCACATCAAATCCGTGAATTTTGAGCTTTAAATACCCAAAACTCGGATGCAACAAAATGTTTAGAATGATATTCGATGTGTCAAACTTATCAGAAGGGACAGCTGTGAAAAATCGATCTAATTGACGTTTTCTGGCGATGAAAGGCAAGTTTCAGTTGCTTTTGCTGCAGTGAACCTCAAAATTATTTTTGGCGCGGTTGCTCCACTAAAAACATATGTCTTGCTATATGTGTGGGTCTGTACTTACTTCTACTGCTCTTTTTTATGACCAAGATTATCAGAATATAAAGGAAACTAGGAATGAACACAATTGGGAAATTCGTAGGGCTTAGAAAACCTTCGCTAAAAAGGAGCATATTCAACCATTCAATGAACCTCGCCGTGTTTACTCCCCTATTTTCCCCCCCCCCTATACGAAGTCATATTATGGTGTAGTCTATGGAATAGATGCAAAAAAATTAGAAAAGAAGTAGCGCATGCGCGAAAAAAATAAATATTTTGTGTGTGCAGCGCATGCGCTGCACACGGTCCCACACGGTGCTCAAGGTGTGATGCGCATGCGCTGCACAATGTCGTCAACGTGTTAAGGTTCAGGTGCTCAAACAAAAATAGATTGCACGATACATAGAAGCTATTCAAAAAGTGCACCAGACAACTGAAACCCTTCACAGTATTTGGCGTGCCCAATACATAGAGGTACTTTCTCTATCGGACTCCCCAGCTTTGTCTCAATTTTTCAAAAACTTTTTTACCACCTTTATGCTGTGTACGCCGCTGATTTATAGTGCTGCGGCTAGCAAAACACTCTCCATGAAACTCTCACCGTAATATGGTATTTTACATGCGCTTGAACTTTCGCATGCGCTCGTTTCAGGACACCATCTGAAAGTCAGACTTATCATACATATTATGAAATTTGACATGGCAACTTAATTGTAAGAACTGTCAGCTTACGTCTTCTTTTGCTGAACGCACTGAAGGCACTGTTGCACGATCGTCAACGCGGAAAGTGCAGCTAACGAAAATGAAGGCAAGCAGAGCTTTTGCCCACATCTCAATCCCCCTTGGTCGTACCCTAAAATCAAGTAGAGGAAAACTGCGGTGGTTTCGACAGAAAGGGAGAAGAAATGAGCTATCGCTATCGTGTTAACTGCAATTTCTCAAAAAAAAAGACAAAATCAATAAACCTTGGACCCAAGTATCAAGACTCCTGAAAGACGAATGCGTTGGTTGGAAAACGCAGGCATACAGGTGAGAGCGCAAAATGTTTCGCTGGCTGGGAACTTTTATCAGCAACTTCCCGATAAAAAAGGCATCGTAGCGCTCATGTGGGATTGCTCGGTAAAACGGGGTCCGCTAAACGAACACCCCTGATAATTAGGTCTGTGGACCTATGTTGTTTACACAACTGAGTTTTTTTGATCTTATAGCCGAATAAAGCGTGGGAGGAGATGTTACGAACACTGATCGAAAAAACGCGAAATGAAGCACAACCATGAGCTGCTTATTGCCTGGAGAATCCATTGCTTGATAGGAGAGAACTGCGTGACTCGATTTTCTCCAAGAGAACAGTATGGCCACCAGCTAGCATCGCTGATGGTTTTTCGGGCTTTTTTTGCGAGAATTCAACCTGAATCCCTTTCGTGAAGACCTATTTTTTGAGTTCTTTGGGTAAACAAAGACGACGGACTGCACGCGTAAAGAATCTTTGCTTGGGCCAAAATATACATAATCTTTGCAAAAGAATGAGGTCAGCCTTTTGTTCTTAATTTAACAACGTTGACGACCGCGTGGTATGATGTCATACCACACTTTCGCATAGGGCAGGCTAGTTTCTCTGAATCTGTTTTGCGTTTTCTCTTGTTCCACAACGATCGATGTATTAGGTTGGCAAGAAAGTCCTGCGACACTTTTTCAAATTTTTGATTTTAATTTTATCTTTTTTGTTTACAACTCCTGACCGGTCATATATCTACCATGAGTGTCCACCACTTGTCTTCAACGCTCAGAAAATTTCTTGATGCTCCTTTGCCAAAACCCAGCGGAGTGCGAGTCGAGAAAGGAGGCGACCTCACTTTCGAGTTGGAGTTGATCGTCTAATTATTTCGTTATCAAGATGATGATTAAAGGTCCAGGATAGGTGGCAGTCATTTACAGCTCGACCAGGGGATTACGCTAAGAGAGGAAAGAAATCTTGCCGCAACTCCAGAATTTCTTACCGGGCTCATTTCGGATCATGGTGATTCGCAATGTCATGAAAGAAATGAATATTGTCGCGGTACGAGGGCTCTTGACGAGCTACCTCGGCCAGCTTCTGGTACTTCCACAACCTAGGCCACTGCCTACACAATGGTGCCCATAACGAAGGGTATGTAGTGGAGCTTCTGTAAGAGCCCTACCTGTAATGGAGTGTGAGGGATGCTGCTGGCTTCTTATAAAAATATCAAAAGATCGGAAGCGCTGGTAAAGGTGAAACACGCTGTAGCGGTGAACGGCATGCCTATTGAAGCTATTGCAGATAGTGTTGGTCTTTGACACGAATCCATAGTTATGGAGACATTTGTACTAGACAGTGACTCGGAGTGGATTTACTAGTGGTCGAGGTTTTTTGAATTTTCTTGGATAACTACTGACTGCAGCACTTATATCCACCTCGTGGATTAAAAGCCTCGAGAATGCTCTACCATTTGTTAGTCATAAATGTTACCTATGGATTGTTTCAGAAAAAAAAAAGAAAATTTTGGAAAGCTATTTTTTTTTTTTTTTTTTGTTTTTTGTTTTATCCTTTATTTTTTTACCCAGTGACTATTGAAGCTATATTACAACCCCAGAGGGGGTGAGATGGATCAAAAAAATTTTTTCGCTGAAACTTGCGCTAGGGGGGTTATCGAGGCTCCTGATCACGAATATGACCTTAGTTTTTGGCGCTGGCGCCAAATTGGCGCCATTTGGCGCCAATTGGCGCCAAGGGTGTTTCACCAAATTCGCTGTAAACTTGTGAATAGGGGTTATCGAGGCTCCTGATCACGAATATGACCTTAGTTTTGGCTCAATTTCTCTAGGTGACGCTCGAAATAGATGTCATCTAGGCGCTCATCCAGTAAGGGGGGCATCAAGTGGCTGCCCTCACCCCCACCCCCCTAGACTGCCTACACTCCCCCTGGCACACAGGTTTCTCGAAGTACGGGACCCCGTGAGCCAGGGGGAGTGAAGCCAGTTCAGGGGGGTGGGGGGTGAGGGCAGCCACTTGATGCCCCCCTTACTGGATGAGCGCCTAGATGACATCTATTTCGAGCGTCACCTAGAGAAATTGAGCCAAAACTAAGGTCATATTCGTGATCAGGAGCCTCGATAACCCCCCTAGCGCAAGTTTCAGCGAAAAAATTTTTTGATCCATCTCACCCCCTCTGGGGTTGTAATAGCTCAATAGTGCCAAGTTTTTGATAGCTTTTCGTATAACTTTCTTGCCACCTATTATATTATTGAAACAGAAAGCTAGGATCTTTCTTAAATTGGATAAACGAAACCGCTGAAGGATGATGCCGTATTGGTGAGAAAATACCCAAAAAAGTTGAAGTAGTAACGCAACAACGGCGGTCGCAACGTTTTATTATCATTTTTTGTGCGCCAAGCTTCGGGAGATTTCGCGATTATGGCCATTTACCGACGAAATCCGCGATTAGTGATGTCCGCATTTCCGTGTTCTTTATGGCCCCAAACTTTGTTTTTCAGCGGGATTCAGCTAGATCGGGCGAGATATCGCCCGCATCTGTCCATGCGGTTGTGAAAGGACCTGACAATGCCCACATTGTTTGTGTTGTGGTAACGCTTCACAACTCGGTGCACTATTTGCTGGAAGAGATAGGGAATCCTAGGCGAGCGTTCTCTGTGCATAAGGTGGTTCTCGGAGGTAAGCTCAAGTGTTTATTAAGTTGCTCATTATGATGTTCGACCCTCTTTAGACCTGACTTTATGACCTTAGAAGAGTGGTGCAAAACATAACAGGGTGAGGTGATGATGGATTTTGGTTGCAGCGCAATATGCATGTGGGTGTGATACGACACTATCTCTTCATTTTTTGCGATTTATAAGTATAAGTATAAGTTTATTACAGTCCATATCCGGCAGACAGGGTGGGCGGGGCCACAGACGTAATTGCGGACTACACAAATTTGATAGTTGTCGCCCTGATCAGCTGACTTCCCTGTATTTCGTTGAATTCTTCGTATTACTCGCGCATTCTGCAGTAATTCCTTATTCTCTATGGTACTATTTATTCTGCTACGTCAGGTTCGTTTCAGAGGAGGCAGGTAAGTTTTAGAAAAAATAATGCTCTTGTTCGATTGAATTGCACGATTTGCTGCCTGTTTTGCATGAGCTGTTGTAACCGCTGAATTTCTTTTTTATTTTTCATTTCACCTTTTCCCGTTCGACTTGTTCTTCATCACAGCTTCTTTTATGTGTTCTCTTTGTTGTGTAGAACACTATTTGAAGCTGTTTTGAAGCAACTCGTCGCTTTTGTGCATGCAATTTTCCAGGTCATGCTGCAGCCGCTGCTCTTTTGGTAAGTTTTATTTTTATTTGGCGTTGATCCTTTTTCTTTTCGACTTGTTCTTCATCACAGCTTCTTCTATGTGTTCTATTTGTTGTGTAGAGCACATTTGTTTCCAAGCAAACGTCGTCGCTTTTGTGGCCTGCAATTTTCGGTCGACGTGGGGTTATACGCTGCGGCTGCCACAATTTTAACAGTTACCTAGGTTAGCAAATCTGGTAAAGGCAGCTTTACTTTTCAAATCTTGTTCTGTTGACAGAAGTTTAATATCTGGTTCCCAAGCTTTTTCATTAGGTGTAGAAAATTCCTAATCCTTCGTGAAGTTTTGGTGTCGCTATTCCTCACGTTTACGGCTGCCCGCAAGCTTTCGAATGTTCTGTGCGACAGGTGATGAACTGCTTTCAATGTTTAATGCCGCTTTTGCTGTACTACTACTATCTACTGAGCGATCAGACATTATATCGGATTTATTCTTTTTCGTGGTTTGTTCTCACTTGCACACCTTTCCTTCTCCTATTTTACGGCTGACCGCGTGACCTGGAAAATTGCATGCACAAAAGCGACGAGTTGCTTCAAAACAGCTTCAAATAGTGCTCTACACAACAAATAGAACACATAGAAGAAGCTGTGATGAAGAACAAGTCGAAAAGAAAAAGGATCAACGCCAAATAAAAATAAAACTTACCAAAAGAGCAGCGGCTGCAGCATGACCTGGAAAATTGCATGCACAAAAGCGACGAGTTGCTTCAAACAGCGTCAAATAGTGTTCTACATATAAAAGAGAACACATAAAAGAAGCTGTGATGAAGAACAAGTCGAACGGGAATAAAGTGAGATAAAAAGTAATAAAGAGACTCAGCGTTATAACAGCTCCATGCAAAACAATGCAAAAAAAATCGTGCAGTTCAATCAAAAAACAAAAGCATTTTT